TCTGTGACAAAAAATGTATAAATTGTCCTTTTCTTCATAAACTCTCAGCCTGTTACACATAATGCATACATAGTCCTTTAACAAGGTGGATAGTAATAGTAGAAAACAGCGTCCATCCTCAGGATGGAGTACTCCTGTTGATTATGAGAAAATTTAAATTCTCACTTCCCTGCTTGGTTCATCTGCCAGTGTCCCCTTCGTGCACTATTTATGACAGCACGTGGAAGCATGCCTATAAATTTCCCCTGACAGGAACCACATCACCTCATCACCCACATAAGAAAATGACAAAACAACCAACTGTGAAAGCTTGCTTGCCAAATGTTCAGCATCACTGCATCAGGGGGAAACACATTTATACAAGATGAAATCAAGATTGGATTAAGCCCAAAAGACAACTCTGGTTGTACCTGCCTTCTCTAAGCTTCAGCATATGTGAGGGTATTTGTTCCAGTGAGACGGGGATTCCAGAACCCCTTTGCTCCTTGAAACTACTTCACCAGTCCAGAGTCAGGGAGAGACGCATCCTGATATGGAATACTGTTTTCTTAATAATCGCCAGATCTCTAACAAATAGTAACAACCCATCGTCATTGTATAGTTAACCAAGGTTTCTTACTCAGCACTATAAATCTTCAGATACCTAGCATAGTTAAGTAGTGCTGCGTGATTTTTTTACAAAAAATAAAGAATATTCGAGCTCTGAGAGACACGGCTAAGGATTGGTCAAGCCAAGAGTCAAACTGGACCTGTCTTACCTGAGATCCTATGATTTTGTGCTTTTTCTTGAGCTGATTATAAAGTTGGACATAACCAAAAAGGTTGGAGCATTGGTGAGAATAGGGTCTTTCCTTTGTGCCCTGAAGTTTCTTCCCCCCACCCTCATTCCTCAAAGGTTTTTTTTTTTTTTTTTGCGGGGGAGGGGGGGCAGAGGTTGTGTCATTTATTTCCATACTTTTAAATTTTTATTTTATTTTTGTTGAATCACCATGAGATACAGTTACAGAGTTGTTCATGATTGGGTTTCAGTCATATAATGTCCGCAACACTTGTCCCTTTACCAGTGAACATTTCCCCACCACCAGTGTCCCCTGTTTCCCTCTCAACACCCCATTCGCTGCCTGCCTCTTTTCTCTCACTCTCTGTTTCTGTCTGTGTGTGTGTGTGTGTTGGAAGACAGTGAGGTTGGGTCTGCAGGGATATGCATTAGTTAAGTCAACTTTTAAAAAGGGTTATAAAGTCATCACTGACTCCAAGAGGAGAATGAAAAAAGGAGAAGACGAAAAAGTGTTCACTCTGCAGCTGTTAGGAGAATGAAGTAAAGAAATTTTCTTATAAATGGATAGACATGGAGAGCATCATGCCAAGTGAAACGAGTCAGAAAGAGAGGGATGGACATAGAAGTACTGCACTCATTTGTGGAGTATAAAACAACATAATATGAGGCTGACACCTAAAGATAGTAGATACACAGGATAGGTAGATTGCTCCATAGCTGGAGGCCTGCCTCATGAGCAAAGGGGAGAAGGCAGCTGGAATAGAGAAGGGATCACTAAGAAAATGATGACTTGAGGAACTGGTCGGGATGGGAGATGTGTGCTGAAAGTAGATAATGGACCAAGCATGATAACCTCTCAGTATCTGCATTGCAAACCATAAGGCCTAAAAGTAGAGAGAGAGTGTAGGGAATATTGTCTGCCATGGAGGTAGGGGGAGGGTGGGAAAGGAAGGGTATACCGGGGATATTGGTGGTGGGAAATGTGCACTGGTGGAGGGATTGGTGTTTGATCATTATGTCAGATTGTAACACAAACATGAAAGCTTGTAACTATCTCATGATGATTCAACAAAATTTAAATAAATAAAAATTGTTGAGTGAATAATCCCCCAAAAAACTGACAATAATGATGTGAAAAAAATGCCAAGTTTCATTAGTTCCAATTGAAAAGCACATTTGAAGCACAAGAGAAATCACTACCTACTCACAAGAGGTGCCTGGTTGTCAGTTGCTGGTGAAGATGTGAAGCAGCTGCACCTCCCAGTCACTGCTGGTGGGAAGTTTGGTTAGGAAGACCTTATTATCAAACCACTGAGGAGAAGGGTCTACTGTGACGTTGATAATTGGAAAGAATCACTCTGGACAAGAATTAAGTGCTAAGAGTAGGTAAAGTGTATACATGATAACCTTTCAATGCCTGTATTGCAAACCATAATACCCAAAGGGGGAGGGGTGTCGGGGGGGGAGAAGAAAAAGAAGAAAAGGAGGACAAGGAGGAGTGGGGAGATGGGAGAAGGGAGAAGAGAGAAGAAGAAAAGCCTGCCATAGAGGCAAACTGGGGGTGTGAGGTGGGGGTGGAAGGAGAGAAACTGGAGACATTGACGTGGTGAAGGGACAGGTGTTGGAACATTGTATGATTGAAACCCAATCATGAACAATTTTGTGTGTCTCACAGAGATTTCATAAAAAAATAACATGAGATTGTGTGATATAACTGGACAAAGAAGAGACCATGCTTTATGGTACCATTTGCATGAAGTTTCGAAATAGAATGAGGTAAACTAAGCAATCTGAAGTGAATCAGATTAGAGTTAACCTTTTTGGTGATGGGGAGATGGCAAGATGAACTCGTGAGCAAACATTTGGGGACCCATGGGATGCTGCATATGTTCTGCTACTTGATCGAGGTATTGGTTACTGTGTTGAAATTGTTTAGAAGTTCCAAAAACTGCATGTACAGGTACTAGTTCTTAGTCTCAGATATTCAGTTTGCCCATATAAATTTAAATCAACAGAAATTCTTATGTGCCTAAATTAAGAGCTTTGTGATCATTATAACCCATATTGTGAGAGAAATGTTCATTTTTCTTTTTACTTATTTCTAAAATATAAACTTATTTAACTTATATACAGAAAAATTATATAGACTATAATTAATATTCAATGATTCATATTAATAATAATAACATCACATGGAAACAGTAATTCAGAATACCAATTAAGATGCCAATGCATAATAATGAAGTAATGGATTTTCAAATGAGTGATAACATCTATAATTACAACTCACACACACTTACATACACAGTTTGTTAGATGGAATGAAGAAAAAATATGTTAATTAAGATATATCTAGAAGAAATTGCAACTTGATGACTTTAGATTAAATTCTTCCCTTCATTATTATTCCCCTAGAAACAGGACTTCAGTTTTACTTGAAGATCATTGCATCTATCTACACTTAAATTTTCTCCTTGTAACTAGTAGTAGCCAATGAAATGTATGTGGAAATTTGGGGGAAGTATGTCTCTCAGAAAGAAAAGGCACCAGAATAGAATAGAGCTCTTTTGACCTTTTCTCTTTTTATTAGTTTCAATGCGTTGACACTGGGGAAGTAGGACAGTGCTCCTGCAATCAAAAATGAACATAAGAATCATGAAATCACATAAAAAGAAAGATGGAAAAACTTCACTACTCCATCAACATGATGCAGTCACAGCTTTACAACTTCCTGTTAATAGAGATGAATTAATCCCTGTCTTTCTGTTATTTGAGTTTTTAGTTATAGAATGCAAATGCATTTCTTATAGATAGAAATATTAAGGAAAATGAATTATCTTAAATGGCAAGAAAACCAAATGCAAGTTAATCTCTCAAGTTGGTTAATCCAGCAGATGACAGTGTCATCCAAAGTGTATGGGCTCTTTCCATTTCTAAGCTCTGCCATCCTCAACTTTGTGGATAATCCCTTCATTCTCAACCATCACATCTTCTGGCATTATCTTTAAAGTAAATCCACTTTCCCCCTTTTGCTTTTTAACAACAAAGACATTTTTCCCCAAGTGTTAACCTTTTTCTTAATAATGCTTCATTGGCCTGTCAATCTGTCTGAATCCTGCAAGGTGAGGAAGGAATGAAATAGTGAATTTCATCAACACCAGCAATTATTGCTGCTTAGCATTCATTCAAAACAACAGTTGCAGGTCAGGCTTTCACTGGATTATGAAATTCATTGCCTGAGAACTTACACTAAAACTTGGCTTAGGATGGTGATTTTTTTATACCTCCAAGAAAGAAAATATAAATAGAATAACTATGAAGTCCCAAAAGCTGGCTGAAACAAATTCTGAACCCTTTTTCTTAAGAATATAAGGTGGAAAGTTTCAAAGAAAAGGCTTCTTTTCACACCAATATTCTTTATTTGAAGCATAAGCTGACAAAAGGTAGCATGGAATTTTCAAAGAGACATAGTGATGATAGTCTCAGAGATATTTTTACAAAATGCTCAGGTAGTATGAAAATTGAGTTTTTTTGTTGTTTGGGGCCACACTATATGGGATACCAGGGATCAACCCCAGCTCACAGCATACAAGACTAATGCCCAATCTGCTATACTGTTGCTTCAGCCTCTCTTAAAGCTGAGTTTTTATATTTTCATCTCAGCACAGAAATAATCAAATTCTAGTAGAAAGAGGTGACTAAAAGAGAACAAACTTGTGTTTTAAAATTAAAAGTTGTTAAATAGCATCTGAAAGTCTAATATGTTGTTTGAGATAAAATACTGAGAATTAGGACTGTCCTTCTTTTGAATCCCATTGCAGTGCCATCTCTCTTGGCAGTAGTAGAAGATTATCTAACCTGATCGTGGTCACAGCAGTTATTGGTAATGCAAGATAGAATATAGCATCTTTTTTCTTTGGTTTGTTTTTGTGCCATATACCCTGTGGTGCCAGCAGTTACTCCTGGCTCTGCATTCAGGGATCACTTCTGATGGGCTCAGGAAACCATGTGGGATTCCAAGGATCAGAACCCAGGTCAGCCACATGCGAAGTAAGTGTCCTGCCCTCTGTACTATCTCTCCAGCTCCATGGATCTCCTGTCTTTAAGCTCCCAACCTGGTTTATTTCTTCACCACATGCTAGATATGTCACAGAGTAGATTAATAATATTCCAAGGATCACAAGTGTAATGTTAATCATGCCTTGTCAAATATATATTTCAGCTTGCTACCCTTGAATTTCCGCCAAAGAAACTATTTGGAAACAAGGATGAACGGGTGATTGCCGAGAGGAGAAGTCACTTAGAGGTAATGGAATTAAGCATTTCTTTCTGTATGCAGAAAAATTAGCATCTGATTGACCAGTGAGAACTATTCCTGTTAAGCACTATTACCCCTTGTTCATGAATGTGAAGGTGTTGCCTCATTAACACGGGAGATGGCAGCAGTAGATTATAAAGTAATGATATCCGTTTATTTAATATGTGAGTCATTGTTCTGGTCTAATGAAACATTTCTCTGGTTCTTAAGGAGATACATTTATTCTCAGGGCTAGGAAGCAGGTTGCGGGTGAGAACTAAATATTCTCCCTAGGCAGATGGTATGTAATACAAAATGAGGGTACTGAAATTTGCTGCAAAAACAGGAATTAATTAACTGGAGATTTATAGTATTGCATCATTGTTCCTTTTTCAAAATAGTTGGACGCAAAGAGACACATACCTATTTTAGTCATGGTTAGGTTTTGTTTGACTTACTTTAACTTAGTCTTTTGAGCCAGCTTTGTATAGAATTTGAGTACCATGCTACTTGCTTTTCTGACTTCCTCTCATCAAATACACATTATAAACAGCTTTGTATAGATCATGTTTACTTTCAGGATAGAGTTGTTTATTTGGCGAGACTCTTAGAATGAGGCTAAATCTGTGTGCACAGTTGTGGTCATAGGTGGATCTTTGATTGTTTTTGGCTTCTCTCTCGCCCTTCTGAGGCAAATAGGAGAATACAAAAGACTTGATACAGTCTTCACAAGATAGTAATTGTGGGCCTTTCGGTGTACTTTTTGCTACTAAGAGAAATAATACTACAAACAAAATCAAGTAATAATTGAGAAAATCTTTCTGAATTGTGAAGTGCTACATAAAAATTAGGTATTATTCTTGTTCTTAGTGAGAGCTAATAAAAAATGGCTTCTTTATTGGGGTCATTTTAATGCCAATAAACTTAGAATTTAGGACGCTTCCAGAAGAGTAAAAGGGGAGAAGTTGGAGACAGAAACTCAAGACTCTAGGATATTGTTATAAATGAGGAGATTTTAAGGGTTTTGAAATCCTGGGGTTAGACATTTGATGAGGTCCTTGAACTATTAAGAGTGAGGTTTGAATGAGCCTTCTAAGAATCATCCTAGTAGATGCCATGACTCTAAAACCTACCTGAAGAATTTGCCTTTAAGGACAGGATTAACATGGTGAACATTCTTCATTAATCAAGTTCTATTAAAGATTTGGTTGTGTAATACCAACAAATCAAAATAGCAATAGAATTACAGGACTTTAAAACACCTTAGTTTTGTTCAGAAAACAAAACTCATGACAAGAAGTAGGTTTTCTTTTACCTGACCCATATGCACTTCAGTTGTCTAGGTTTATCTTTAAAGGAAAGGTGAAGATGGTAGTATTTAAGAACAAGTCTATAAACAAGTAGGAAACATCTGTTGTCCTCCTCTAACTGCTAGGACTCTGATCCACATGGTGCTCTCTGTGCCACAGAAAATCGGGCATTTTGTTTGCTGTGCATTGTTTAAGTGCAGTTGTCTTGGGACTCTTAACTTCTCAATGCCAGACTCCAGATTCACCAAAGGTCAAGATTCTCTTTCTTCGATTCTTAATACATTCAGGTACAAATCTTTTGTTCTTTCAGTAGCTTCTATTTAATCACTAAGCCCAACTAAGCTATCAACTGTTAATGAACAAAAGTCTGTATCAACCAGTGCCACTGTAAAGACCTCTTCTCCTGATGTAATGGTTCTGTTTCCATTAGCCTTTATATAATAGATTCCATACCTTATAGAAATTGACCTTTAAAGGCATTTCACCTAATATTGATTGCCAAATATTATAACATCACGTTCTTCTCAAGAAATGAATGTAATTCTACTTTACATTAATGGAAAATTCATCTGAGACACGTAGTTTAGTTTTCTTCATACTTGACAGTGTTTGGGAGGTACTACTGGCTTAGAGTTCACTCCCAGAAGTGCTTGTGGTACCATGTGGTACCGGGTATGGAACCCAAACCCCCCGCATGCAAAGCATGCATTCAAACTGTTGAACTCTCTCTGGCTCCAACTCTTAAGACTTTTGTATTTTTGTTTGGTCTTATTTTTTTTTTTTGGAGGCCATACCTGGTGGTACTCACAGCTTAATCCTGGCTCTTTACTCAGGGATTACTCCTGGCAGGGTGTCAGGGGACCATAGGGGTGCCAGGGATGAGTTCAGGTGTCAGCAGTGTGCAGGGCAAGCATCCTGCCCGTCTGGCCCTCAACTATTAATACTTCAAAATAAGTTCAGAAATACTGTTTGATTTAGTATCTTTTCATGTGAAAATTAACACATCAATTTAATTTAATATGCATTTGTCTAATTCCAGTACATGCTACACACAATGCTCAAAGCTAAACAGAATGTAAAAGTAGACAAGCATTTTCCCTTTAAAAGTATATATTTAAATTCATGTTTAAAAACCTAGATGTATAATTAAATTCAGAAGCTAATATTATAAGGTAGATTTTGATATGGCTTATTTTTCCTATTTATAGTGATATATGTAGTGTTTGCACAAATGGAATTTTATCTGATGTTTCTTAAAATGCAAAAGTGCAACAACTTTATTAACCTTCTCACCCTAATTGAGCTGTATTAATCTATGTTTTAAATAAGCATTCGATTGTGTTTTGGTCCTCCTTGCTCTTAAAATGTTTCCAAGATTTCAAGACCTTGCATTGGAGTTTAGGAACAACAAAATAGATCAGATATAGACACCATGCTAGCACGTCCAGATTTACATAAGTTGATTCTGTTAAAATTATTACTTACAAAAGTTATAGTTAGTTCCAAAAAGGTAACAGATATTTTGGAGATTAGTTTTCTTGCCTTGGAAAGAAGAATGTTAGAGGGTGTGTGTGTGTGTGCGCGCGCGCACACGCGCGCGCCCGCGCATGCACGTGCATGCGTCCACTTGGTACTGGTGGTAATAGCGTGGTTGTGAAGGGCTCAGTGCATTGAACATTCACCATAGAAAGCAGGCATCAGGACTGAGATAACTCAGAGGATACGAGCATATGCCTTGCTCCTAGGCCCATGTTCTAGAGCCAAAGTTTATTCCCACATACCACAGGGTGACCCTGATGATCCCACTTACCGCTAAACCTGAGTAGTACCATATTGTCACATCAGAGCATCCAGCATAGCCGGGCTGTGTATGGTCAGAAATGCCCTTAGACCCTTGAACTCCACTTTTAAAAGATCATTCCCTGTACCCCCTAAACAAAAAGACAAGAGTAGAGCAGTGGTAAATGGATAAATGGAGAAGTGTAAATCTGGCCTCCTACACAAGCCCGTCTCCACCCCGAGCCATCAGATGTTCTCTGGTTAATACTTGGACAGTTTTTCCAAATAGAGCCTTTTACTGTTTAGAATCTCTTTTCAAACTCTACCTGGTCCTTTTGTTCCTGAAGAACCATAGAACCTCTGAGGATGTCCCTGATATATTCCCTGTATCTCTTGTGGTGACACTTAGGGAGTGAGTTAAGTGTAACTATGTATGATTGTCCTGCTGTCAGGCCATCGGAAGACATGACAGCAGTCCCCCTACATGTGACATGTTCCACAAACTTGAGCATTCTTACAGTATAGATATAGACAATAACCAGGAGATAAATGTGAGCAGATAAAGCTCTAAATGTAACAGGAAAAAAAATACCTTGGTCTCTGTCTGACGAATTGAAAGGTGTATTAACTATATTTGAAACCAGATACCCCGACTGGTTGAAACATACAAAACTGTCATTGTGATGAGTCAAAGTGTAGAATATTGGCAATTTTAGTAGCTCTTTAGAGGTTTTTTTGCTATTAATATTTACTTAACATTTCTAATGTGCTAGGCATGAACAAAATGCTCACTGTATTCTATCCAGCCAACTTTTAAGATGAGTTGTCTTACTTTACTACCTCAATTTTACAGGAAAAGAAATTTAATTCTCTGGGAAAATTCAGCAAGTCATTTAGCTAATTATCCTCAGTCCTCACTAGAGCAAATTAGTGAGCACACAGGATCCCAGAGAGCTCCCACAGGGATCCAAGCATGTGTCTTAGATACAGCCCGTGGTGGTTTGTGCCACATGGTCCCCAAGCAGCACCAGGAATGATCCCTAAGTACAGAGCCAGGAGTAAGTCCTGACATCTACAGTTTCCCCAAACCCTAAACCAAAACAGCAGCAGAGACCGTTGGTACACTCTGTGTTTAAAGTAGGGTTGAGTGTTCTGTAAAGAAGTGTTTCTTTTGAAGGCTCATCCTCCTTCAGCAGTAACCCCACAGTCCCTTGCCTAATTGTCCATTCCTAGTGTGTGTTTACCCAGCATTGGTCTGGCCTCTGCTTGTGCCAAGCAGGACCCAGGGATGGAGGCCCTGGAGCCGCAGCAGCCTGCAAGTGAGGGTCCTTTATTCTAACCTTAATTTCACTTTTTGTTTGTTTCAGGAAAGATGTTATAATCTTGGATTTTTTTTTGTTTGATAACTACTTTATGACTCCTCAAAATGTTCTGAATCTCAGTTGCTTATGGCTTTATTTTTAAACATTAAAGATGTTACATTGTCTCCTTGCAGATTTATTTCTGGCAATAGTGACTCACTAAAGAATATAAAGTCAGACTAATTTTATTTTGTTTGGTTTGGGGGGCCACACCTGGCTGTGCTAAGGGCTTACTCCTGGCGGTGCTCAGGAGGCCATCGAGGATCTGGGGATAAAGCCCGGGTCAGCAGTGTGCGGGTCACGTGCCTTACCTGCTGTACTGTCTGTTTCTGGCTTCATAATTTTAAGGAGATTTTTGTGACCTAAAATATGATATGTATTCTTGCTATATGAATATATATATATATATATATATATATATATATATACATACAACGAGGCTGGAGCGATACCACAGTGGTAGGGCATTTGCCTTGTGAACAGCCAGCCTGGCAGAGTCGGGTTCGATTCCTCTCGGAGAGCCCGGTAAGCTACTGAGAGCATCTCGCCCGCACAGCAA